ATCTCTCTAAATTTTGGGTTCTTATAAAAGTCATTATGTTTTCATAAAAATTCTGATTTGATTATGCGTTTTATAATTTAGTCAATAACTATTCTAATTTTATCAATATTTACCACCTGACTGTCAACCTAGTTACCCGACGTGTCATGCTGACGTGTTAGTCTGTGGTGATGTAACATGTTGACATGACAATATTTAGTTATATAGCGCTGGTGTGTCAAAACTAAAAAAATGACACAAAAGCACTAAGTTTTCTATTTCAATTTTCAATTGTAACAATAATTTTTTTTTTCAATTGTGACATTCCATTTTTTTTATTCCAAATCCAATCTCATTTTTCTTGATTTCATTTAATATTGATAATTTTTCATTTGAAACAGTATAATTTTATTTTTTTACATTTGAAACCAAATAAATATTTTTTTTGTTACATTTAAAAACCACATTTTTATAAATAAATTTTTGCACTTAAACTTAAAGTAAAATATGTATTTTACACGTATAGTTATAATTTTAATATAAAAATATGGTTTAAACGTCATGTCACGTGAATATATGGTTTATTTTCTTTATTGGAAAAATGAAACTATAGCACAATCAATTACTGTATTTTGTTCGATTTGATCACTAAAGTATTTATTTATTTATTTTTTGTTTTTTTTGTATAATAAGTCCTTAAACTTTACAAATTATATCTTAAACCTTTCAGTTTTGTTTTTTAATGATGATTTCTTAATATTAGTTTTATTTATGAATGAATGATGATTGATCTCTTTCTTTAATTTCATGTGAGCCTCTATGATTCACGTCACCGTTACTTTCTCACACCACTCGGTCACTTCCTCCAACACACCCAACACCATTCCTACCCAGCCGGTAACCACCACCCACCATTTTTTAATCCCCATTAGATATTTAGAGTTCAGTTTTAGAGACGCCGAATACGAAGACCTGTGGATTCAACCGCGGACAAACGGAATTCAGTCATTTGTGGAAAAAAATTCGCAAGAACACATCAATCAAGTTTGACCACTCGTGTGATATTTTTTAGATTTCTTTAGTTTTAACAAACCATATAAAATTGTAAATACTATAAGATACGCTATGTCTAACAGGGTACCATAACGTGTATGTAGCACATACGAGTATCCCATGATGGGTTGTGTAAGCGATACTATAGACTAGGGATGAGCATATAACCCGTTGGACCGGAAAAAAACCGGGACCGGACCTGGACCCGGACCGGACCGGATATACATATTAATGGGCCGGTTTTCGGGTTTTGTTTTTACCACTAATCGGGTTTCGGGTTTGGACCGGACCGTACCCGGAATACGGATTTAACCCGAACCGGACCGGAAATTTTTTTCTCCTTAAAATATATAGATAAGGATATTGAATTATTAGTTAATTTTATATGTAACATTATGTATAAAACTTGATGTTTTTATTGTAACATTATTTATAAATCTTGATCAACGTTTGTTCCTATCACTTTACAAGAAAGAATGTATCTAGCATGCTATTTTTTGTTCAAACATGCAAAAAAAAATTATAAAAACATGCAAATTTTTTTATAAAAACATGCCGTTTTTTTATAAATAATGCTGTTTTTTACACAAAAAAGCTATTAAAATGCAGTTTTTTTATTAACAATGTTGTTTCTTTTTTGTTAAAACATGCATTTTTTTATTAAAAAGTGTAGTTTTTTATGCTAAATAGTGTAATTTTTATTTGTTCCAAATGTTAATAAGGTTTGTATTTTTTTGTAGACACCTCATTTGCACGTGATCTAAGTAAAGTCTCGCATTGTACCAATTTCAAAGCCTAGTTCGGTCCAAAACCCGAAACCCAGTTTAGTACCCGAGACCGGACCGGACCGAACCCGAACCCGATACATCCAAAAACGGTCCGGTTTTCGGGTAAGAAAATTCACGATTTTCGGTCTTCGGGTTTTCGGTCTTTGGGCCGGTCTGGTCCGGGTTTGGCCCGTTGCTCATCCCTACTATAGACTAATTTTGTTTCAATGATTCTCTTTTCTACATTTTTTTATTTTTATTTTTATTTTTATTTTATTTTTTTTTTTACTTTTGCAACCTTCAGCTTATTCTCCGATTGAGTTTTCTCACTAATTATAAATAAATTAAATTCAAAGCAACAAATACTTGTAACAGTTACATGATGCTAAGCAAATTCTCTATATTAATTTTTATTTGCTCTTTGTCAATGACGATGATTTTCTAGCTTGGAGTATTCGTTATGACTGAAACTTTATCTTCCTAGAACAATAGGTCAGACAATTTATCGTGGGTGGTTACCGGAGGTGAATAGTGGTGGTTGTCGGGTAATTTAGAATAGAGACAATTCATGTAATTTAGAATAATTTGTTAATGAATGATCTGTTAAAAACCAACAAAAGTGACTTAACAGACATATATGTTATAAGTGCAATAATCTATTGCACAAAAAATAAAAAATTAAAAATAAAAATAGAAAAAAAATTGTGACCAAATCGGCCAAAATACAACAATTAGTTTTGCTACATTGTTATTTTCCTTTATTTTTTTTATTCTTTTTTATCACATTACATCATCACATGACTAACAACCATGTTGTTACACATATGTACACTACAAGAATAATGACCATTAGTGGCAACGGGCGTCGCCGCTAAAGGTCCTAAATGTCGCCGCTATTGATATGTACGTTATCGATTTCCAGTCTTTGGATTAGGAACAAAATTAATGGATAAGGTTTCACCTCATATTTCGACGCGGATTGGGGTCGATAGACATTAGCGGCGATAGACACCTTTAGCGGCGACAGATAACGCGAAAATTACATGTCGCCGCTAATGCCCATTAATCTTGTAGTGGTATGTGCATAATACATATATTAATGATATTTTTATATAGAAATACCTATTTTTATATAGAAATACATAAATTTATTATATTTACACTGTATTTAATTTATTTTAAACTTTATTTTTATATTAAAACTAAATGTTTATTTGTAAAATAAATATTTTACATTAAATTATGTATTTAATAAAAATATTGTTATAATATAAATAATATATAATTAGAAAAAAACTTATATATTATATAAAATCATATGATTTTTAAATTCTAATATATATATTTTTTATACGGTTTCAAATGAAAAATGATAACATTGAACGAAAGTGAAAAAAATAATGTTTGGTTTTGAAACAAATAATAGAATGTTAAAATTGAAAAATAAAATAAAAACCTAATTTAAAAAATTGAAAAAAAATGGAAACATAGTTTTTTTTTTTTGCCAAATTTTTAAAATTTTGATATGTCATCATGTTATGTTAGATTTATATAACCAAATAGTGACATGTCAGGATGTCATATTAGTACAGACTGACACGTCACGTCATCAGATAACTTGGTTATACCGGTCAAATCGTTAACATTGCAAAGTTATGAAAACTTGGAGACTAAATTAATAACGTAGTTTCAAAATCAAATTTTTATAAAAATAAAATTTTTAGAAATTTTCATATTTTTAATACTAGGTATTACCGTATTAAACTTTTATGGAATTAAAGCAGTATCACCTTTCCGACTTTGGGGGTATTTGGATAAATAGTTTTTAGCTTATTAGCTTATTGCTTATTTGCTTATTGCGGTGGAAATAAATATTTTTTTAAAATGTGTTTGGATTAGCTTATTGCAGTGGGAATAAACAATAAACAATAAACATTTTAAGTGTTTGGCAAATAAAACAACTTATATGAGTAAATGACCAATAAGCAATAAGCAATAAACATTCTCCCCTTGCTTATTAAAATCATTTTATTTGGCTTATTCCTACCGCAATAAGCTGATTTTTAAAGACTCATATCCAAAACACTTAAATTTGCTTATTGTGGTGGGATTAAGCAATAAGCAGCTTATTTTTTCCCTATCCAAACACCCCCTTAATTTAAAGTAACGAAGTCTAAAGGCTGAATGCGATAGAGTTATGATTCTTATATATTTGACTCACATGAAATCATGAATCCTTAACTTTTATTTTCATCTTAGTTGGATATATACATGATAATAATAATAATTTACCGATCAAATATCATATATCTTTAATTTGTGGTAAAGCAAATAAATAATAGTACGTGATGGCTACATCCTAGGAGCATAGGTGCATGGTGCACCTCCACCGTTGGTTCATTTGTGTACCCTCACCCACCAAAACGTGAGAACAACTCTTATCTCTATTATTGATGTTTATATTCCACTGTTTGGGCCACCCTGACACCTCAAATCCGCCAAAGTTGTTAGGGTTCCAAAATTAGACTCATGATTGACTTTCAAAAGTCAAAATTCTTGTTTTGCTACCTAAAAGTTGCTACGAATTACTTTATTTCTCGATGAAAATTTGGACTCATGTTCGATTTTATGGTAAATGGTATGCCACAGTGTAATATTAATCGAAAATGTTCAGTATTTTGAAAGAATTCACGGCTTGAAGATCACTAAATTTGACTATTTGGAATTAGATAGGTGATGTGTTGGAATTGGTTTGGTTTGCAACATAAACAAAGATACAACGCACATGCAGGAGGATACTGGATACACTCTCCGCACCTTCCTTTTGGACTATTCTACAAAAAAGTTGTAACATTATCTTAAAAATCAGTAATTTTGATCGATTCAATAGCATTATATTTAACCGATTTTTAGGTCAACCATGATTGAACTTTATTAACTTGTAACCGATACCAAATATGTAAAACATCCTATGTAATAATATGATTATAAATATTTAATTGTTTGTCGAACAACATGCATATTTACTATGTCATTCAGGTAAGTTGTAAATCTTCCAATCACCGTAAATTACTCTTAAAAGTAAATAACATTCAACAATAATCGAACGTCAGAATCGTTGTTATTTCCTGAAGCATCTTCGGCCGACCCCTTCGATTTTAAAAAGACAACTGTTTGACACATGGTTGTTAAAGGTCCCACCAACTTCTGATAAATAAGTAGCGATCGATTACTTACTTACCCACCATTCACAAGAAGAAGAAAAAAAATGGGAGTTGCAGGAACATTGGAGTACATATCAGACTTGATGAACAGTGGTCATAAACAGAAAAAGAAGAAGCAGCAGCTACAGACAGTCGATCTGAAGGTCCGAATGGATTGTGATGGTTGTGAGCTTAAGGTCAAGAAAGCTCTCTCTTCTCTTTCTGGTACGTACCCACTATTTTACATTACGTATTTCTAGTAATTTTCAGATGTTTAAAATCCTTAGTCGGATCCTACATGCAATGTCTACCGTATCTTTAATACAAATTTGGTTGTGGTTTGGCGATACAGGTGTGAAGAAGGTTGAAATAAACAGGAAACAACAGAAGGTGACAGTGAGTGGCTATGTAGAAGCAAACAAGGTACTGAAAAAGGCCAAGTCAACTGGTAAAAAATCAGAGATTTGGCCATATGTGCCCTACAATCTCGTCGCACAGCCCTACGCTGCTCAAGTATATGACAAGAAAGCCCCTCCTGGTTATGTCAGAAAGGTAGACACCAGTGCTTCAGTTGGTGTTACCAGATACGAAGACTCTTCCTACTCTTACGTCACCTTGTTCAGTGATGATAACCCTAATGCATGTTCTGTTATGTAAGTACAGAACTACGGTTGTCAAGACGAGATCGTTTTGAAGCCTTTTTTGAGTAACCCACGTATAGCCTACGGTTATGAATGTATGATGGGGTTGTTGGGGTTTGAGAACCGTATAAGGCCGGTGGATGTATGTATTACAGAACCTCTAGTAATTAACATGCTATCTCTTGCCAAACGTATTTCTTTTTATATTGTAGTACTAAATAAAATGCTCTTTCTAACAATCTGATGTTAAATATATCTATTGGATAACTAAATATTAATGTGGAGATCGGTTTTGGTTTAATGGTGTTATTTGGTTGAAAAAAGACTAAAAACTGGCTTTTAGTAGAACAACAATTATCGTACTTCTTATCAATGGTAAATAGTCAAGCACATTAACCTCGACCATGTGATCATGTATCATTTTTTTTGCTGTTCACTACAAAAAATAAAGTATTACCGGCAATTATTTTCGCTCGTAAAGACACCAAAAAATCGCCCCTAAAAGTATTACCGGCGACAAATAGCCGTTATTAAGTCACCACTAATAATAGGTCGCTAAAGCCCATTTATCGCCGGTAATTCGTGTCGCCGCTAATAGCCATAGTTGTTTTATTTCTTTTTTAAAATAATTCTGCTAAAATGAAATAATAAAATAACATAATTAAATTGCATAAAATACATAATCCACATTGTCAACATAAAATACTTAATAAAAGTTGATAACATACTTAATACAAATATGAGGATAGAGTATTAATTTAGTTATTAACAAACATACAATATACTAAACATAAATTAACTAATCATCAGCGTTGTCTTCATGCCCATCGTTCTCCTTATCCTCACCCTCGGTATGATGGTATCCGCGCCATCTCCGCTACAACCTTTTTTCGACATCGATTGAAACCACTTAAAAAGTTTCTTGATAATTTTTTTTTATGGGAATAATAGCATCGTCCATCTACAAAATAATAGGAGCATTAATAATAACATCCTAATTGTCAACATACCAAAATACAAATAAATATAAATCAAACTAAACAACTTGCAATTACCAAAGATACCAAAACACCATACTAACATAAACCAAACTATATATCAAACTTAAAACTATTAACATACCAAACTATCAAGTTACCAATATACCAAACTTCCAATTATCAAACTAACGTAAACTAAAATACCAAAGTAAAATCATAAACCAAACTTCAGATTATAAAAAAAAATACCAAATAATCAACGAATATCAAAATTACTAAACTAACATGCATTTATCAATCTTTATATGAGAGTTTGAAATTAAAAATAAATTGGTTTATGTTACGTTTACCTCTATTTGTTATGGTTGTAATGGCTCTCCCTCACAATAGTTAGAGGTTCTATTGGAAGGCTTACGCCAATCCCTTTGATATGTCCTCGTCGAGCATCTAACACCTTTTCAGATGACTCTGTCTCAAACGTAGGTGTTAGGTTAGTTCCTTCGGGTAAAACATGTGTTTGCATTTCTAGCTCCCGCGCTATGTCATTCTGTATGTTCCAAAGTTTTATATATATATATATATATATATATATATATATATATATATATATATATTATAAGAAAATTCTACTTTAAATAATTGTTACTCGGATGATGTGTTGTCAAAATTCTCATTTCTATCGACATGAGCTTTACAGAACATTTGAAGTATAATTCAGTTCTGTTTAACATTAAAAGTTACATTAAATGTAGAAAATAGAAAATTATATATATATATATATATATATATATATATATATATATATATATATATATAATATATATATATATATCTATATATATATATATATAAGGCGCGCATCGCATGTGCCATGGCGTGAGGTGTGGCTTCGCCGTTACGAAAAGTCTCATAATATTGTTGTTAGGTGTGATATGACATGCCATAGCTCGTTATCGCATGTTATGATGTGTGTTTTTTCGTTTGAGACACATTTTTTTGCTCTTTGTTATGTTTTTTTCTAATCGGAGATACAACTATTGTGTCGTTTGTTAACTTTTTGTTATTAATTATTGATATAACACTTCTAAAAACTAGTTATATTTGATATAAATTTATATTTATGTTGTAATATAATTATAATATAATATAAAATGGTCTTACATCACGTCTTGAAAAACGTAATGGCTCGTAAAGTTTGAGGCTTGGCCTTACCGCCACGCCACGCCTCACGCTATTTATACCTTGATATATATATATATATATATATAATATATATATATATATATATATATATATATATATATATATATATATATATATATATATATATATATATATATAAAATTACATCTTTGTAACACGTACTGCTATACGTACTTGACCCCCCGCAGTGAACTATTTTTTGGTGTTGGCCATTTACTGTGTTTGTAGCTGGCAGATTATTAGGTTTCGCTTAAAAAAACTGTATAGCATTCTCTCAGTTTGTAGGATTCATGTCAACATGTGGTGTTATTCTTACTTCCTCAAGATTCGACCCCCTCCCTTTCCCTTAAAATACTTTTTTGGCATTAGCATTTTTTTTTTGTCTTTGTAATGTTTAGCCAATATCGCATTAATGCCTTCCCATAACTAAATATGTTGCCAAGAAAGCTCTTCATGATCAAAACTTTGTTGTAAATAAAAAAAATCAATTAATTTGAAACCAATTAGAAATAAACATATAAAATTTACTTATATAAAAAATTTACCTTGAGCTGTTCAATTCAAGTATTCTTTTGTGTGGGGTGTACATCTTTCCAACTTTCTTTTTCAAAAGCAATGCTCTACCATATATATGCTTATCTCACGAACTAAGCAATCATTGTTGTGACCTATCCGTAAAAATATACTTTCTCTATCAAACTCGATATGTAACGGTGGCGATTTGGATGTGGTGGATCCTCACGACCATCTCTGCCATGGCCTCGACCCATGACGGCGGCCATGAAGTATGAAAGAACAATCCAAATGGACGTCATAGCCTAAAAAGTGTTTTATAAGATGGAAACACAATATTAATAAAGTGTTTTATTACAAAGAGCGTCTCAAGCAGATACAAATACAGTTTTATATTGCAACAAGTGTCTTACGTACATATGAAGTGTTTTATTCAGACTCTCCCTCAGATTATCTAGGAATTCCATATTAGATTGAAGTTGGTAAAATGTTTTACCTACCTAAAATAAATTCACACTTAGAGAGGGCTTGTCCAAATGTATATGGGGACCGGGGCAAAAAGAAAAAAAAAAGGGCCCCTTAAAGACAAATATAATAAAGATTAAAAAAAAATACAATTTATTCTTCACTATAAACGCGTTCAATTAACAATAACAAGCAAACCAAATTGTTTATCTTTTGAGTTAGTTTGAGTTTGAACCAACTTTAGGCCCTAGAAATCATTTAGGTAATATTGTTTTATATATATACACTACACAACCCATAAATTTTGGGCCCGTTGGAGACGTGGGCCATGGGTAGTTGCCCAGGTTGCCCACCGTTTGGACCAGCCCTGCACTTACATTACGACATTCATCTTCTTAAATTCCAATTGTATTTATGGATCCTAGCCTAAGATATTAATTTGGGTTAAAGTACTAAGGGTTGGATCACTAACTAAAATATTTTCTCTTATTTTAGATGTCTGTAAAATGATGATCTTCATCCTCCTCCTCCAACTCACAACTTCACTCTATTGTCAATTTTGTCAAAAGAGAAGCTTAATGGTCCAAACTATATGGATTGGATGTGAAATTTGAAGATGACACTTCGATACAAGAAAAAAGAGTATGTTTTCGAGAATACAACTCCTCAAAATGATAATAACTTCCACTATTGAGGAACTTGCTGACTGCAACAAACACGTTGCACCGCCACTAAGTTCGCTTGCATTATGATTGCAATGATGGCACGTGATCTTCAAAAGTCCTATGAGAACTACTGGGCATATGAAATGAACTTGTCTCTTTCTCAAATGTTCCACGAGAAATTAAGTAAAAAGCATTATGAAGTCGTCAAGGCCCTAATGGCATGCAAGTTGAAAGGAGGGGGATCTATGTGTGCTCATGTGCAAAAAATGTAGAGACACGTAGAGAGATTAGAGAATCTCAATGTGAACTTCGACAAGGAGTTTGCCATTGATATGGTTCTCAAATCCTTGCCCAATAGTTTTGATCAGTTTATCTTAACTTATTGTTTGAACAATACTTACACCATATTGAGTGAGCTCACTAGTCTATTACAAACTGCTAAAGATGGAATGAAGAAGTATAATTCGAATAATTTTGCAAGTGCCCCAGTTTTGGTAACTCAACATGGCAATGGGAAGAAAAGGAAGGTCTATTCCCAACCCAAGTGGGAAGGGAAAGCCCACAATCGAAAATCCGGCGGGTCAAAGGGAAAGGTCAACTTTGATGCTCCTCCTGTCGGTGATCCGAAAGAAGTCGTGTGCTTTATTTGTGGTCTAAATGGACATTAGAAGAGAAGCTGCCCCAAGTACCTACAAGAAGTGAGAGAAGAAAAGGGCAAGGTGTTTGTATCTACATATGGTATATACTTTATTGAAATCAATAAAAGTTATTTTTCAAATTCATGGATCCTTGATATAGGATGTGGTTTCCATATTTTTTCTGATATGAAGGGGGTAAGGGAAAGTGAATAGGTCAAGTATGGGAAGCTGAACTTGATCATGAGGAATAACCAAAAGTCGGTTGTTAGCAGGATTGGAGTTTATGAGCTTATTTTGATAACAGTGTTAGGTTTGATTTGAACAATTGCTATTATTCATCAGAAATGACTAAAAACGTAATTTCTTTTCACGCTAAAAAAGGTTATCGTTATGGTTTTGACAATGATGATGGTGCAATTTTAGTATATAAAATGGTGAAATTATTTTCAAAGTTTATCCTTGTAATGACGTGTATGAAACTTTTGTGTGTGTAAATGAACTGAGCAATAGTGTTTTTAGTATTGATTCTTCTAATAGTTTAGAGAAGGCATGCTTACGACATTGTTTTCTTAGACATATTAACAAGAAACACATCGCCAACTCCAAAAGGATGGAGTGTTGGAATCTTTTGAACTAAAAACAATGTGAATCTTGTTTATTAGGAAAGATGACTAAGTCACCTTTCACTGGTACTTATGAAAGAGGTGATAGATTGTTTGTAACACTCGGTTTCGAACCGTTTCATTATTCGGGGTGGTGACCCGATCATCTATTATCATAAGGCTTCGGGTCTTGGGGGAAGAGAGGAGTAGCCCTTTTTGGATGTGGGTATTATAG